CATATGCATTTGGGACGCCTTGAAATCAATTTACCAATAAGGGAGGCGGGCGGAGGAGGCGCAAGGAGGCTGCTTCCTTAAACCAGTTATATACCCAGCTTAACGGCATAGGCAAGGTCGTATATCTGGCCCGATTTACTCCCCGCGCTGGTTTAGTTCCCCGACAACGCGGGGTTCGTAATTCTTCCGAAAGCTCTATCATCTGAGTCATATACAGACGCATTGCCACAGTTTGGAGAGAACGCCAAAGATGGGGGAAGTAGATGCTATCTTTTGTTCCATGTTCTATTTCGAGCAACGACTGCAAAGTGCTTCAAGGATTGTTATGTGACGAGGATCATCAAAGCGTGAAAACAAGAAATTTAACTACTAGTACCTATTTAAAATCTTGAACTCAGAACGGAAAATAAAACCAGTACTCAAAGAGATGAGAGTAAACTGAATGAAAAGCATGCAGGAGCCAGCGGTGAGCCAGTAGTGGCCATCCCGCCCCGCCCCGCCCCGCCCCGCCCCGCCGAACCTCTCCGCATACGCCTATGCAGGGCTCCCAAAAGCGCCCTGAATATTTTTGCTCTCCACTTCCTTCCTCAACATGATACCACCTCGCCGCTCCCATTTCTTAGTGCACATAAGACTCTTGCCTAGATATACTATGCCACCTGGAACTCACAATAACTGAGAGCAAAGGTATGTTTCCGATATATTCTCAAAATACGAGGATATATTCGATGTACTGTACAAGGCTTCGCTTTCTTTTCACATTTTATATGCTCCACCCCGAGAGCAGTCGTTGCTGTGTGAGAATTCCCGCCCCTACGTTGGAGTATGATCGCCAATGGAATAATAAAAAAAAAAGGTTAAGCAGAACGAAGAAAGAAGAATGGAGAGTAAGAACGGAGAAGGAGAAAACGGTATCAGGCTTGTATTGTATCCGGTATCCAGATAGGAGATAATATAAATATATAAATATATAAATATATAAAAATATAAAAATACATACGTCAAGGAACAACAAGGCTGGAGATGGAACGGTGTTCTTAGAGAGAGGGCGAAAGAAAACAACGTCAGCATCCATTTCATAGCTTCGCAGCCTCCTTGACCTCGCCGATCTTCAGCTTGCCGCCGTACTTCTTTAGCACACCTTCGTTGTGATACTGTTTGCACAAACAATAGTTGCTGGAGTTAGCCAAAAAATTGTGCCTTGAGTGGAAGACAGAAAGAATGGGAAAGGGATTGGGTAGAGATATAGAAAATAGGTATTATGAGATATATTCCCAACGAACCTTCCAAAACTGCTTCGAGGCATCCTTGCCCGCAACCCGCTTCAGAATCTTCGCGCCACCGGGATGCTCGTCTAGAAAATCGGTGATATTGTAGACGGATGAATCGATGATGATATACATGCCGTTCTCGGCCTTGTTGTGCTGGGCGACCTCAGCCGTTGTGAAGGGTTTCGACATTGCTGCGGTGTATATTGACTGGGAAAGTCAATAGGGAACGTCTGCAGATACGGAGACAAGCTCCCCGCTGGGATTATTGCCGGGGTGTATGCGTTTTGTGGAGAGCGCCAGGAGGAAAGGATAGCCTTTGGTAATCACGGGCTCGATGGAGCTTGGAGTCCGAAGGGATGGCGGATTGACAACCAGAGACAATTTCCTATGGGTTGAAGTGTAAATGATACCAAAACCGTGACCTTCTGAGGCGCATCCGGTTATTTTTTATAGGGTGCGATAATGACGACTTCTGTGGTCTTTAGATGGTTTACTCTTGATGTATCTCGGCGATGAGCCTGGAAGAGCCGAGGTTACCCTTGCGATGAAGGCTAGTCCTATTTAGGCATGGCGCAACCGAAGCAGCTCTGGCCCTCGTCAGCTGGAACTTTCACGTGCTGATTGGCCAGCTCCAGGGTCTGTATGGGATCGTGGCTTGCCAGTTTGTGTTTTCTACACAGAGAGGAGAAAATTGTAGACGCAGATATATAATACGAAATACATCTCTTCCGCTGAATATCTATCTAAATACATCGTCTTCATGGCATCCGCATCGTCAGCATCAGATCTTACTTTTTCTCTCCCGTCGCCCCCTGCCCCTTTGGCACTTTCCTATCAATCCCCAACGTCTCCAGATCCTTCTTCTTATGATAATGCGGGGCCACCTCTACCAGCCACTCGGGCTTGCAGAGGCATGTTGGCTTCGCATATACTCCTTGCTCGTCAGAACCAGTTCGTATATTATTAACCCATTCCGGGTCCCTTC